TTTTGTCCAAGCTGAGGTTGGATGATGGTGGTGACACCTCTCTTTTCTATAACACTGTCATTCTGCCTTTTCCATTGGGAGGAAGGGAAAAGAAGAGATTTTCAAACATCTTGATGGAAGTCTTGGATGACGAGGGCTTCTAGTTTAAGAGGTCAAAGAAATCGTATTGGCTCCAAAAAGCTAGGAAGACGGAACAAGAAATGGTGACAATCAGAATCAGTTTGGGAAAAAAAATGAATTAATTATCATTGGTTTTGTCTCATAAAAGTGTGGCTTTCATGTCTGGACTTTCCTGCTCTGAGCACTTCCTTTAAGGAGTTTGGTGGGCACATGAAGCCTTGTAGAAACTTCCACAAGCCCAAACTAAACTTCATTTGGTGTTTTGGGAGGGACTCGCAGTGACGCAGTACTGTTGTCATGCTGAGTGCCTCAAACTGGCTGAAGGGATGTCTAAGACACAGTTATTAAAAGATAGTAGATGACACTTTTTTGATTTTATTTAATATGACCATAGGTGATCCTTTTTCTAGAAGGAAGTCGCCTTCAATTAAACTTGTGTAAAAACAAACAAACAAAACCAAAAAAGCAGCCACCACAACAAAAAAACCCTATGCCTTCATTTGGTGAAGTGTTCAAATTTATCTCTGCATGACATACACTCATAGTAGACTTTTTAGGAATTTCTTTCAAATTGTTAAGTTGTGAGATACCATCTTTTTGTCCTTCTGAATAGACCAGTTGATCAAAATTTTAGGTCTGATGCTAGTTGTTTTTTGCTAGCAACAATGTCCAGATTTTTTTAGAGGAAAATTAAAGAAAGGGATAATATCCTGTCTTTGAAGTTAACTGGAAACTACTAATAATACAATTGAGGCCCTCCCCTGCCCACCCACCAGCAGCAGGCAGCTATTCTACGGGCAAGAGCTGACCAAAAGTGTCCTGTACAGATCTTATGGAAACAGTGCACTAAATCTATCCGGCAGCTGTGTCTTGAAGAAAAAAAAAAAAAAAGTTCATAAATGTTCCTTTCCAGAGAAAATTTTAGTAAAAGACAGAACACCCCCTCCTCCCCCCGTGTATTAAATCATACCTGACTTTTGTTATTTACCTACCTGGTTAAATCAGGCTTTTGAAGACTTGCTCACTCATCCTCTGCAGCCATTACTGTCACATAAGTCTGTTCAGGCAGGGCTCACACCGCTCGTGGGCATTGGTCCAGAGAACATGACAAGTAACTTTTTTCACTGTTGGGATTTTTACTGCTTTTTATTTTAGCCATTACTGGTAAAATGGCTGCTAATGAGGATTACAGACCAGCACAGCTACCAGCTCAGTTATTAAATTTGAAATTTTTGACTGCCCATTAGTGTACAGACATTTTTAGTAGCCTGGATTTGGCGTAGGTCATAAATAATTTTGAGAAATGGATGCAATGTAAAACTGTTTTCTTATTTTATAGAATTGTCCTGGTTTCATCTGGAATAGAGTTAATTTTCTTCCTAGTAGCTGGTAGAGTGCTGTGTATTGGATTTAGGATGAGAATAGTGTTGATAACACACTGGTGTTTTTTAGTTGTTGCTAAGTAGTGCTTACACTAAGTCAAGGACTTTTCAGCTTCTCATGTCCTGCCAGCGAGGAGGTGCGCAAGAAGCTGGGAGGGGCACAGCCAGGACAGCTGACCCAGATTGGCCAAAGGGGTATTCCATACCATATAATGTCATGCTCAGTATATAAACTAGGGGGAGTTGGCTGGGGGGCGGCGATCGCTGCTCGGGGACAGGCTGGGCATCGATCAGTGGGTGGTGAGCACTTGTATTGGGCATCACTTGCTTTATATATTCTATCATCATCATCATCATCATCATCATCTCTTCCTTTGCTGTCCTATTAAACTGTCTTAATCTCAACCCACGAGTTTCACTGGTTTTTCCATTCTCCTCCCCATCCCACTTGGGGGTGGTGTAGGCAAGCAGCTGTGTGGTGCTTCGTTGCTGGCTGGGGTTAAACCATGACAAGAATGAAACAACAAAAAAGGAGTAAGGGGTGGCAGAGGGAGATTGTTGGATAAGCAAGTCCCAGCATTCACGTGTGTTTTATTCCCCCCTCTTTCACTGGTTCTTGTACTTGTAATATTTTCCTTTGTAGTTTTTGCGTATTTAAGTTATTTGGGATATCAGTCCTACCCTATCAATCAACCTCACTCCATTAGAAGATCTATCTAGCCATTTGATTAGTGGAGCAGGTGAACTTTTTGAATGTGTTTTATTGTAAATGCATACTTTTTTTTTTAATATCGAATTAAGTAAATCACTGCAAGAAGTCAAAGGTATTGCATAGTAGTTTAAGGTCTGTCCTGACATCACACACCCAATTTATTTTGTCTGCTGTTCACTCCTGTAAGTGTGGAGTTAAACACTTACCTGATCCTTGCTGGTGTCTGAATGCTTTTCTCTGAATTGGTCTAACTTCTTTTTGGGCTAGAATTCATAATCTTCGTATTACTCCAGAAAGGAACAATTTTTTCAGCAGCAGCTGAGTAAATGGGACTTTATTCATTCATGCCTATGCTTGTCTCACTATAGGCAACATTAGGTCTTTCTCAGTTTGTGAAAGAGACTACGTATCTTAAAATTAGGTGGGAGTTGTTATCCTGGTTCTTTAATGCTCTTCAGGACTCTCATCCCTCTTGTGGCTGTGTTTGTACTCATGTTCCCCTCAGAGTGTTAACGAACAGTAGTACAAGAGCAAACGGATATAAATTGGCCTCTCTCTTAACAAGCTCTTCTCTTTCTCGTTTGGAGCTGCCTGACATGTAGTAGGAAGTGATCAGATCCCCCTCTCAGCTTTTGGTTTGTTCAACTGAAGCCAAATTCTTTACTTCCTCTCTAAAGCAGGTTTTTCATTCTTCATAGCTTTTATCACCATATATACCATAAGTAATTCATATTTCTTCACCATGGATATTAAGAACTGTACGCACTACAGTTCTTAATACGTACCTGATATGGCAGCAGTAAAACTTCCCTGGAATTTTGACTGAAACACCTGAGACTCCCACGTATTTTGTAATGATGCTAGTGGCTCACAGTGATCTTGTGACAGCTAATATGACCACCTCAACTAAAGAGGCCCTGGCTTATTTTAGTTCTTGTTATTCATCTTCAATGTTCTTTGCTAAATGCCATCCTATCAGAGTGAGCAATATCACAGCCACATAAATTCGGCTACTTCTCTGCTGCCTGGGCACCCTGGATGGCGCAGTCTGACACTTGTTACCTTTAGCACCAGTGCTGTAAGCTGCTGACTCTCGGAGGTCAGCGTTCTTCACTAGAAGTGTGGAGACCGCTCTTGCCACTGACCTGCACAGTGATGTGACCTGCAGGGTCCACCCTCTCTTGCCTTGTTTCTTCAGTCACGTATTTAGGCTACAGGTTCTTCAAGGCCAGGTGTATTTCGCACGCTGAGCAGACAGTGACAAGCACAGCAATCTCACTCAGGTTTCTAGCTACTCGCTGTGAAATCCTACACGAATATCATATGGGGAGGGATCAGGAGCGTCCAATGTCTTCAGTCTGCATTACTTCTCCCCCAGCGTCCAGGAAGGTCCATGTGACATTGTCTTGGAAAGGATCTGCCTGCCTGAAAGGATCTCCTCTTTATAAATAATCTTTCCCTTGCACAAAATGCTGAACTCCTGACAGCAATAGCAGAGCTGATGGCTGGTTGTTCTTCATGGCTCAGAGGAACTAACCTGGTAAAACTGTTTTTCCTCCCAGATTTTGGGATCCAGGTGGGCTCTCAGTGATCAAGTTGACCTTTCCCACTGCCAAAAGGTAGGCTTTAACTTGGTGCTTGTTGTGGAAGTCAGAACATCAGAACAAGTGAAAGACTTGTCCAGGGCAGCATCTATAAAGTTCAGCTATGTTCATTTTATTTGCAGTTTTATGGAACATTTCTCAGTTTTAAGACAAGTTTGTACTGAAATCTTGTAAGATTGTATACTTTGTAAAGACACTTTCCTTATTTGGTTCTGAAGTGAATTATTAAATAAAACGTTACTGAATGAGTTTGTCTTCCTGTGGAAATGCAGAAATACTTCCTTTTGGAAAGTAACAAGATCCTGTTTCCTCCAAGCTTTAGGCATTTTAACCTTCCAGGAGAGTCACAGCACTATCCAGCTGCATTCAAGGGCACTTTCTGGGGTGTAAGCAGAATATACGTTTACTATCCGGGTGAATTCAAGGGCACTTTCTAGCATGTAAGTAGAACATGTGTTATACGTGCAGGTGATGTAAGCCAGCAGCATTTGGATGAACAAAATGAAAAAGTGTTCTTCTATTGTCTGTAAATCCAGAGGCAGTGTGCTGACTTCTAATAGACTCCCATACAGAAGTCATAGCTGTTCAATACGTTTTTTTGTCCTGTCTGAAGATGGGGTATATTTAGTCCTGTAAACTGCATCACTGGGTGGATGTCAAAGTCTGGATGACTTCAGAACAACTTTTTCCAACAATGAAGTCGTAACTTGCCAGCTGACATGAGAACCATCTCTTCATTCAGGGTATCTCAGATACATAAGCATACACATTTCCTCTGAAGTCCCTTCTCTGTCCAATGGTTCTGCTACTAAAGAACACTCTGAAGTAGTATCTTACATCTTTGAAGTTTATGCATATATGTATTTTAGGAGTTTGCCTTAGTGGTGTTTGCAGTAACTGTTCCAATACAAGTGCAACCCTTGCAGATAAGCACAGGAAGATACGTGCAAAGCACTGCTGTAAGGTGATAAAGCAATGCCTTTATGGTGCATAAGACTAAAAAATGCAAAATTTCCTAGCCTGTTGACTTTTTTTCACTTTTTTCCCCACCATGGGGATGTTTGTTGCTATGTATTGCCCCCTCAATACACCAAATCTCTTGCTACGAAGGTCTCACAGATAAGGGATTTTCTGTGTCAGAAACAACACCTTGGACTTTTTGAAGAAAGCGCATTTTAAATTATGGCCTGGAAAAAGGAGTGGGGACAGAGGATTTTGGAGAAAGAAGAGAATTTCATAAAGGGGACAGGCTTATGGTAACGGAGAGCTTAAGTAACAGCAAGCAGAGGGAGAAGAGAAAGAAGAGAACCGGATTGACAGCAGCTGTTGTGGCACAGAGTAGGTCTAGAAGATCTACACAGTTGTGGATTTCCATCAGATTTATAATTTTGGCTACTAACACTGCAGATTTTCCAGCTCCTGTAGCTGTTGCTTATCAGCAGATTAAATGAATGTTAATTGGCACGGTCAGGGAGTCCCATGCAACCAGAATGCATGGGACTCTTTGCGCTTATGCAGTCAATCTGCACATGTGCAGTGGCTGTGAGCCTACAAGTCACTAGCTTTTATGGGGCTGACTGATGTTCAGAAAGCTGCTTTTCTGTAGAATCAGTATTTCATCATCCAAATCAATAGAGCTGCCAGGTATGGCATCATATATCCAGTCTAGATTCTTCATGTGACACAAGCTGGAGTGGCCCTGTTGACTTCACTGATATTAAAAATGACTCATTCTAGCAGGGGACCTGGCTGTATTTTTTGCCTTTGCCATGTTTCTCATTAGAAAGGATTGATGTCATACAGTTCATCTATCACAGGTGAAACATTCCCATGTCCTCCGTTTCTCCAACCAAGTGCAACTTTGCATTCCTGTCTAGGAACACTGTTGAATGCTCCGAGGCTTGGCAAAACGAAAGTGCCTGAGAGTGGATAAAACATGAGGGAAATGTACAAAGGAGTATATGGAGCAATGGATTAAAGTGTGTGTGCTTGCTGGAGCTAGTGTCTATCCTTCTTTACACAGCTCGAGAGCTCATGGGCAACTGGTGACTGTGAGCCAGCCTGGGGTCTGTCGCTATGGTTCTAAACTGGATTGCTGTTATGGCTGGAAAAAGAACAACAAGGGCCACTGTGAAGGTAACATTAACACTTTATGCTCGTTTCCTTTCCACAGCTGTGTACTTGGTACTAATAAAGGGATTTCATACACATCTGCCAGAAGTTACAGAAAAAAACTTCTGAGGAGTGAAATCTCTTAAATGTGAGAGACTGGATAAAACATGTTTGAGAGACCTTCTCCTCAAAAAAGCAGAACTTTGGGTAAGCAACAACAAACAATAAAATACATATTCAAAAATTCTTAGGTCCAGAAGGCACCATCTGTTCTTACCTCCTGCACAGCCCTGGTCAGTGCCTATACTGTTACAGCTGTCAAGTAAGTGCCAAAAATGCAATTTCTTCTAATGCTACATATGGACCCTTGAAGTGTTGGTTTTTTGTTTTTTTTTTAATCAGTTGGTATCCTTTATCTTCAGAAGAACACAGCCTCTGAGAACCGGGAGGTTTTAACTTTCTAAAAATATAAATTAGACCCAAGCAATAAGTGTGCCTGACTTGAGCTTGGGTAGCCAGCCAGCGTTCTGGTCTGTGGGTCGTTGGCTCAATGAAGAGTTGATGTCTCTTAAGACATTTCTAATTTGTTAAAGGTTCATAGATCCCAAGGAGAAGGTGATGTGGAATCTCTCTCTAGCTGTACTTGGGCAAAACGCAACAAAGTCATAAAATAGATGTTTTAGGAATCGTTCTTAGATGATGCACTTGTTGTCTCAGAGTTTGACATTGTATATCGGGTGAACTTGAATAGAGGGTTAGAGTAATTCCTTGCTGAAAATCAACAGACTGATGTCTAAAAGGGAAAGATGCCAAAAAGTCTCTGCTCTGTATATATAGCATGACAGTTTAAAAAAAGGAAAAACTGATTAATATGTTTATTAATATTTATACATTGCTTAATAGCACCTTAGTTGTGATGCAAATGAATACCTTGAGGGACAACTGGCAAATGTAACTTTGATCAGCCAGTGGAGTAAGTTGTCTTGTTGTAAAGCAATATGGTGCTTTCTTAGTAAAATTCAGTTTTCATAAACTTTTAAGATTCTTCTTTGACAGATTTCTTCAAGCCAACTGTAATTCTGCATTGTAAATCCAGATGCAGTGGTGTTTTCTGCTTCAGTGTTAATACTCAGCTGTTCTCACACTATGCCACGTTGCATTGAGGGATATGGGTAGTGTTGAAATACGCCTTAATCTGCAGAGCTATTATATCTGAATGAATTTTTAAATGTAGGGAAGATACTTGAATTCAGCAGTATGTATTTTAATTAAGTATATATATTATATTGTATTATATATATATTATATGGTAGCTAACACTGTGACTTTCATATTTCCTGTCGTTTTCATAGCAGCTTAATTATACAAGGTAGCAAGATGTGCATTCTGGTGCATACTCTTTTGCTGTTTTTCCAGGTTTTCCTGGATAACCCTCATGTTGATCAATCATATTGACTTTAACATCCTTAAGCCTTATAAAAGTCAGCATTTAATTTCTGCCTAATGATCCAGACGACTGAGATTTAGGAAACCTTTACTTTTTAATGCATCCAGGCTAAGCACAGCCCTCTCAAGTCATAGTAAACCTGGTGCAATTGTACTTATTGAGATGTGTGGTAAGGATAGTTACCTGATAGTTTGACAGATGTACTCGGGATGTTCCACCATGGGATGGACATGTTCCTTGGCTGTAAGTGAGGAGATCCAGGAGTGAAAAACTGCTGGAGGATAACGTGTCTCCTTTGGCTGCAGGAGAGTGCTGTTGCCTCTTTCCTACTCCAGATGCCAGGCGTAGCAAATCGAGCTGCTGGGTAGCTGCTTCTCGCATGGTCTTCTTAAAAACAGGAGAAAGGCAAGAGTAAAAATGTAAATGTGAATCGTAAGCATGGCAGAAAAATCATGAGAGTGCTAAAAGGAGTCCCTTCTTTTCCAGGTCTTTACAAACCTGGAAAAGCAGACAGTTGTGTAAGCCATGCTAGTGTTACTTTTCTCCAGCAGAAATAAAGTGCTGATCAGTAGCTACCATGCCCAAACTAGAGGGAGAGGTATGGAGGATGTTGAACTTATGTAACAAGTTTTGAGGCAACTAAGCAGGGCCAAAGTTCTCAAATAGCGTCTTTCTAACTTTTTCTTTTTCTCTCTCCTTTCCCTGCCTGACTCCTCCAGCTATCTGTGGACATGGCTGCAAGTATGGCGAGTGCACGGGACCAAACAAATGCAAATGTTTCCCTGGATTTACAGGGAAAACCTGTAATCAAGGTTTGTGCACATGGGGGTATTAACTCCGGAAAGCAGACTGTTGATGTTCTGCCTCCTTATCTTGTACTATGGATTGTGTCATCTTCGAAAATAGGAAAAGAAGATATGTTCTTGTTTACATAAAAGAGCTTAAATTTTAAGACTCTTGCATCTCCAGCATCCCAGGCGAGCCCTAAGCCTTCTTCAGCGCACAGAAGTTTGAACCTATCTATCTCCTGCAGGCTGATGACAAGGGCAAACTGTCATATTTATAGTCAGAGGATTAAGGCATGGAGAGATTATATAGGAAATTACTAGAAGAGCTGGAATTCAAGTCCAGAACCCATGTTATTTTCTTAACTAGCAACCCATGTTACTTTCTTAAATAAGCTTCCTATCAGAAAGACATGCAATTATATGCTAGACACATAATTTCTCAAGCTGCCTGGGCCAATGCCATCTGTTTGCATATGCTGATTGGTATTTTTGAGAACACAGAATTGGGAGTCTTTAGAATTGCATATTCATAAACTTTGAATGCACCACTTTCCCTGCATAAACTTGCAATTAGACATGGAAATATTTCAGCTAACACATTAGTGAGAACTCAGCTGTTTTTTTTTTTCCTTTTCCAATATGTGAGACCCCCACATTGGATCAGATGAAAGGAGCAGGTCCCAGTGCATGGCATGAGGCCATCCTACTGCACTGCAGATGAGTGAACTGCAGGTGCTGTGAGGGAAGCATGACATGAAAGCCACACAAATGGATGGGTCTGTCCTTGCTACCTTCCTAAGCACCTGCAGTCTTTGCTTGAAAATGTTGTGCTGACATGCTAAAAACACGTTTTTCAGAGTCCAAACAACCCATTTATTACACAGTATCTTTCAAACAATATGCTATAAAGCTATACTGTTCAGTGTTTTGGAAAACCATCTTTTGCACTTTTGATGTTGCTCACAGGGAAAAAGTAAATTCCTCAGTATCACTAGAGAGGAAAGCAAAGCAGCAGCCGTGGTTGTGTGTAATTGGTATGTAGGTATCACTTACAACTTTATCCTCTAAACCCAGAAGTTTAACCTCAAAAATTATTCGATATCTTAAATGTTACCGAAAGGCAAGAGAGAAGCCCTCAGTTTTTTGGTGTTTTCTGTGCAGTAACTCCAGCTGGATTTGATGTGTCCCCTGTACACAAAAAGATCAGTTCTGCGCACTTGCAGTAGATTCAAAGTCTGGGGCTCGGTGGAAGCACTGCACAGACCTACATGTGCAAATTGCCTGCTAGCCCCCTGGGCTGCTTTACCTTCTGAAGCATGGCCGGGAATTTTTTTGTAAAATGGTGGCTGGCACAGGCCAGAAATGTCCTGGAGCTATTTCAATAGTATAGCCATATAGGTGGTCATGTGCCAGCAGCCAGGAATGCTCAGACCCACTTTTAATTTACTGGCAGATGGAGCCTTGGTCTGTCCTTACAGCAGAATGCCCTGCTGAGCAAGCTTAACATGAGCTAACTAAAATAACAGAGATAAGGGGGACTGTATTAGTCTGCCACCGAGTCTGAGCTAAATTAGCCTTATCTCCATAGGTTCTCTTTTAGAGCTGTATATGCTATCTGTGCATTACTGCACATTGTGCAAGACAGGGCAGCTAAGCACTTTTGAAAATGTATGGTCTAAGTGGAATAACTTTTGTTCCCTTCTAGTTTCTTTGTTAAGAGAGTCTTGGTTATTTAGCAGAGCCACAGTAGCACAAAAATCCAACGTAATTTGAAAGCCAATCGGTTGTCCTTTTTCAAACAGACCCTATGTTTAAATAATAGAATGCAACTCTCTTTCTCTTCCCTGGACTGAGCTGTAATAAACACTTCTGCACTTGTATAACCACAGAAAGTTTATGCTTTGAAAGGTGTGGAGTTTTTTCTGTGGTGTGCAGGGCACATGGACATGAGAACAGATGCTTCTCCCATTAGAAGTGGAGCTGGACAAGCTCAGTGCTTGGAGAGTTGCCTCTTTATTGAAATTATATTATTGGTCATACGTGCCATTAAACACATGTTGAATGGGCTGTGTACGCTGGTGCATTCTGTTAATGAGTTCTGTCTGTTTACTAATGAGGTTTCAAAATATAAGAGGTAGAGGTGCCAGTTCATAGAAGTCACAAGCACAGATGTTGTTCCCTTGTCATAGGACCAATATCATTGTCAGCCTATATCACACAAATTGACCTCTTTAGGATTCTGGTTTTCTCCCTGTGAAGGATAGCTATTGGGAATTTGAAATTAATTTAGCTTCCACAAACCCTTTTAAATCCTGTATTTTGAGAAGGATTTAGGATGCTTTTATTCTCAGGATTTTGAGATTTTTGAGATTTGTGAGATTTTGACTTTTATTCTTAAAGTCACATGATTTTTATGTATTGCATTTCATCTCTGCTAGACAGCCCTGCCCTGATAACCTTGGTACCAATATGTAGCTCAGAAAAAAAAAAAAAATCTTTGTTTCACTTTATCTCAAGCTGATTTGCTGTTCTTAGGCTCATGTTTTTGCCTTTCTAGTACAGAGGTCAGCTGGAGGACTGAAATCTCCAACTAGAATCAGAGAAATCCAGAACAACTCCCAGAAAAGAGAGTAATTACAATTGTCTCCCAGCCCCTCCACCTCTTCTAACAAGCTGCCAGAGTTTGCATTAGTTTTTCAGGTGTAGAAGTCTGTGTACGTTAGTTTTGCTAGCAGTCTTTCAGCCAGATGGTCTGCTAAAGTCTCATCTTGCAAGGGGCTGGCTCATTTTCAATCCAGGCGATTTTACTGTGGGGAATTCAAGGCATTAGTCAATGTTATCCACCTATATGTATGAATATATGTATATAAACCCAGCACTCACTTCATTCCGATGACTTCTGCAGATCTGAACGAATGTGGACTGAAACCACGTCCCTGTGAACACAGATGTATGAATACACATGGCAGCTACAAGTGCTATTGTCTCAACGGGTACATGCTTATGCCAGATGGCACGTGTGCAAGTAAGTAATAGAGCTGATAGGACAGGCACAGCAAAATCATCTAATCGCATTTGATCCCAGCAGATTTTCTTCCTCTGATGAATGGATTTAGCTTATTCAGGATAGGGTCTTTACCTCAGCTCTCTGGTACTGTCAGCAGCTGAAAGAGGCTTTCTATTTGGCAGTATATGGATAAACTATGTCATACTTGTATTTTTGTGTTCAGAGGGATTTTTGTCCTGCTAGAAGTAAAATTTTGATAGCAACACTTCAGATGAAGAACAGCTAGTATAACCTTGATGTATGGTCCTGTGTGTAATCATCTGTTCAATAAGGATGAATGAATCTATCCAAGCAAAGCACTAACATAGGCTACTTTTTGCTGTGCTGAATTTCATGCCATTACTCCTTGCTTTACCTTTCTGTGCTCCTTGACTCATTTATTTTCTCTGAGTGTTGACAAGCTTCCCACACTTGCTGCCAGCTTTTTGCAAACATTTGCTCATTGAGCTAAGGCTTATCTAAACTGTATTTCTACCTGTTTTCTTTGTCTTTAAGCCAGCATGTAATATAAAGTATTCTGCTTTCTTAGCCAACCTGATTTTTCAGACCTGATCAAACTTCATATTTTTCAATGACACTGTTTTGTTCGTAGAAAATACTTTTTTTTTTTTCTTCACCTGAGCTGTTCTACACAGATATTTTGGCTTTGAATTTCACAAACCCCTAGGTAACATGGTGACAGCCCTGTCTGGAGTCCACTGGACCAGAGCAGATGCATCAGCTGGACGAGGAAGCTAGCTGGTCTCAGCTTGAGAGGTCTGTCCTAAAGCAATGGACTTAGCTGTATGGGTGCAGCACAATCTTTCCCATGGATATGCCAGAGAACCATAAGCTCTGGAAGGCTTTGATCTCCAAACCTTGGAGACAGTCACGCACCAGGCAGGGTGTCCATTTGGCAAGTTTGCTGTCAGTTTTGGGGTAACTGGCAAAATACCCAGCCTTGGTGAACACTCATAGGAGTGCAGAGTCCGCAGCTCTGGGGCAGGCAGAAAAGCCAGAGCTCTGCGCGCGCTCTCTCTCTATCTCTCTCTCTCACGGCAGGGAGATTGAAATTGCTGCGAAAGGTGCATGGGGTTGGGGCTTTCTGAGGGTTTCCCTTCCCTGCAGCACAGCTCAGGGTTGTGCCTCTGTGTTTCTCATCATGGATGGGCATCACCAGCAGACAACAGCTGCCAGGCCCTGAGATCCCTGAGAAATGGATATGTATTCCTTCCGTTTCTTCCAAGATAATTTGTATATCTGCTGACATCATACGCCAAGCAGTTTTCTGTAAGGCCACTGTCTTATGGACAGCTGAAGTTGTCAGAAACCAGAACTATAGGCACATTTGCTTCCCTTTGACCCCGGCAGCAGCTTTGCCCCGTCCATCCCTCACTCTCCTGACTCTGAGCACAGACGCTTGCTGCAGCCATGCTTCACCTTTCCAAGTCAGAAAACTAGATCCAGGCTGTTACTAAACATTTCTGCTGGATTATTTTCAAGGCAGTCTTAGTTCAGAACTGGTTTCTTGATTTGAGAAACTCTGCATTTGTACCACATGTGCAGTTGCACCATCCCTTACTCGAGCCAGCACAAAACGCTGAATTTCTTAATGGCAATAGTAGCCAGTGTTGAGTAAAAATTGCCTGGGCAGCTGTGAGCCTTCAAGCTTGCGTTTCGTTTTGACACACAGAAATGTTATTTCTAAGTGGAACCCCATCAAACACTGACACAGAATGGAACCAAATTTCAGGGGAGAAAAGAGAGTTTTGCACAGAAGGGAAGTCTTCATTCTTCACAGGTCTAGTTGAGGAGGCAAAACCCTTTATGTTCATCCAGCTTGTGCTTCATTAACCCAACCCATCTGCCACCTTCCAGTTCCAAAGTTTTCTTTGTTTTCTTAAGCAGAAACTATGATTATGAAATGAAGTAGTAAATTATTTACTAACGTAGAAATTATTCTTAGTTAAGTCTACTAGCCTCCCATTTCACTTGATGCTAGCTTAAGCTTGTGCTCGGGTGAAATGCTAGGTTATTTAGCCAGCTATAGAATCTCATCGTTTTATTCAGGCAAACATTTTGAGCTTATTATTAATCCTCTTGAATAAAATTCTCCACGATGTAAGTCTCCTTCGCAAGATAAAGTCCACCTAGTCTGAACAGTCAGGCTTTTCTGCAACCACACCGAGGGATCGCGGAGCTGGAAGAAGGGTATCAGAAGAATGTGGCTTTGAGCCACAGAGAACCATTGCTTAAAATAGTTAGTAGGTTACTACCTAACACAAAATCACTCAAGTTTTGCAGGAATTCCTATAGTGGATCTGATTATCAGTTCATCTAAATCAATATTTTGTCTAACCAAAGTCAGGAACAGGAGCTTCAAACAAAAGAGAAAACACACAATTACCAGTTAGAGAAGAATAACATTTAGTAAGTTTCTTTATTGCCACTTACTTAGGAAGTAGATAATATGACAAATTATTATGATTTACAGTCTGTCTTTTTTTAACTCGTACCTCCTGCTATTGCGTATGTTCTCATTCACACAAAACCAAAATACTTTTGCAAATACAGTGAATTCTTGGCCTTGAATATTTATCACTTGGCCACAGTTTAACAAACCAGCCCAAGAAAAATAATTTTAGCACAGAATAAACAGATTAATTTTAAGAGCACACAGAAATAATATGCATTATATTTTATATTCAAATAAAGAATAATGTGGCTGTCGCTATATATGCACCTGCACACATCATTGCCTTTTCTATACACTCTGTTATTACGCACCATTCTGAAAGTGCTGGTACTTCTGACAATAAACACGTTGCATTTTGGATTAAAATTCATATCTTTTTCTACCTAAGCAGTAGCCACTATTCAAGCTCTTGCAGTTGGTTTTTGTCTCTAGTAAACTGACAACAGTTGTTCCAGGCTTTTCACTTAAAAAGAAGTGAATATATACAGTTCTGTATCCCTGAACACTACCAGAGTGAAATAGCAGGAAATACTTTCTTTGCTCACACCTCCATCTGTTGAGTAAACCCTTCCAAATTCCTGGATATCTTCAGGATTTTAGAAGTATCTCCCTACATGCTTAATACATTTCTCCTACATTTCTAACCTCTCCTAGGTCTCTCAGACAAGATCTAGACCCCTACATTTCTCTTTAGAGGCTAATCAAAGTCATCTCTAATAATTTACACTCCTAACCAACCTGTGGCAACCAAGACTTCTATTCTGGGTAGTGCCTCTTTAAATTCAGATATCTGTTCCGTAAAGGATCAAAATAAAGGGCAATTTCTAAGTCCATCAGGCTAAAGAGTTTAAAATTCTATACCACAAGCATGTTTCATGGTAAGCAATAAAAACATTTCACTACCAATTTGCAGTTTTCTGTGTGGTAAAACTGTCACAATGGAAAATGTAAAAAAACCAAACCTCTTTTTTCTACTTTGAGCAGTTCTGTCTCTGAATCGAAAAGGCAACAGTAAGAAGTCACAGAAATGGGAACAGAGAAAAAAGGAGGAATAAGGGCAGATAAGGAGAGAACAACGTGCAGGGAGAGGGAATTTAAGGTCTAGCTCATGGACTGCTGGATTGTGAACGTGTTAATGTATGAACAGCTTGATTAATGATGAATGGAATTTTGTTGTTATGATTAATTTTCTGTGTTCATCCAGGTCTAAATTTTAAGTGTATCATCCCAGCCTAGATTTTTGCTCTTTTTATTATTTTAAATGCTGTTTTCAGGTTCTAGGACATGTGCCATGGTGAATTGCCAATATGGATGTGAAGAAGTCAAAGGGGAGATACATTGTCTTTGTCCGTCAGGTGGCCTTCAGCTGGGACCAAACGGAAGGACGTGCATTGGTATAGTTAGAGAGCTCACTCTCAGCTTCTTTTCTATAGGATCTCAAAAAAACTTAAAGAGTCTGGGGAAAGGTTAATAAGTGGTTAGCTGTCCTCACTGGCTTGGGTAATGCTTCATGTTACTCGCAGTGTGATGTTAAGCTTGCATGCTTTTTAAAAAAAGTGTTCTTGTAATATTGGCCATTTAATTCTTTGGGGGAGTCCCATGCCCAATAAATAATTAAATGTTTTGACATATTTTGGAATCATTAACAGATTCAGTTTCTCCCTATCGCTCTGAAGTCTATGTTCCTTTGCCTGCAGGAAGCTGTCCTATTGACATAATGCATTAGAGGATTTGGGGGTTGTGTTTGGAGGGTTTTTTCTTTTATTGTGATGACCCACAATACAAACATCTGGAATTTTCTCCATAAGCCTCAACATCACTTTACCTGGGGGTTTCCTGTGTGATGAAGAAAGTGTTGCTTACATCACATGGTACTGTTCTGTGATACGGGTTTTACGTTGTCATGTGACAAAGGGGTGCTACAGCTTTGCAATCCAGTGCTGAAATCGTACCCATCTTAATACTGAAGCTAAATGAACTAATTTCAAAACCCAACAGATGTGGAACAAGCCCTCCAGAGCAGGGACCACTCCAACAACTAGAAAATAAGGGGCAGTGAAGAGTGTGTCAGGGAGGAATTCTCTGCTTCTTAAGGAGGGGATGATCCCGGAGCCACGGATGACCCCAGCATTGGCAGGGCTGTGCCCTGTGTCCAGGGTCTGTCCGCACATCTTTCCAAAAGCTGTAATACTCTTGTTGCTGTTCAACGCAGGCAAACCTAAAAGGCTCTGAAGTATTAATTTTTAAGATCAGATGCTCTTTGTTTTAAATTTAAGAGAAATACTGCTTCATATGTAGTTTATCCCATTTAATTTTAAAATAGGACCAGTAGCAGAGCTTCATATGTGAAAAAACAAAAGAATTTTGAATTCCAGATTTCTTCTTTAGAATAGCTTTAGCTACTTTTTAAAAAGGAAGTTTTGACTCAGTAAGTACATTTTCCTGTAAAATGCTAACTCGTAGCATTTGAACAATTTCAATATGAAAAAAAAAATCCAGAAAAGGTTTTTTGTTTCCTTTTTTTGTACTTTCCCTTATTGCCAATGTAGCCTTTCTTTGCTGGTCTCACCTGGCCTCTGGGTAACACCCCTAGTCAACCCCAGGGAATGATATTTTGTGGGGTTTTTAACCTTTATTCCACTGAGGCAAGCATAGAAGACTGAAAATTGCAGCAGGTTAATGTTTTATTTCCCAGAGCTGCCCAAAATACAATGGAAAATAGAGAATGGAAAGTTATCCTTGGAGATATTCAAAAGCTGTGTGGACGTGGTCGTGGGCAACTGTCTCTAGGTGTTCATATTTGAGATGACTAGATAACCTCCAGAAGTCCCTTCCAATCTCAACCATTCTGTGAGAAAAATTTTTGCAACACATGCTATTTACTGAAATGTCTTTAGCAACATACCTAATGATACTGATGGTTTCACATATTTTGACATTATTTTGGTCACTATGGTGCAAGTCCTCCAGATCATAAAGGGCAGGTTGGACATGATGCCTTATGGGCAAAGAATAGCAGTAGCTAAACCATGTCAGATGCTGCTTACCAATACATACTGATTGAATTGTTTCTACAGCTTAAAGAATGTTTTAGATGTTGAGAGATTTAACATTCAAACATAAAAAATTATCTCCAATGGTCAAAACAATATTATACTTAACATTTCAAACAAAAGATTAAATAAATGCAGTGACCAAGAAACACTGCCGTGTAGGACAGTTACTATATGAATTGTTCTCCTTAACATACAGCTATAATATCATCATGTATGAAGGTCATATGGCCTGGGACTACTTTATCACTTTTAGGAGCTATCAAATAAACCCATATGGATACTTGGCTGAACTTCCAAACTATAAACACTCCAACATGAGAACAGTATTTCTTTCTTTCAAATGAAATGATATGTCCTGTTTTGAATAATCAGCAAGGCTCTTGGACTACTACCAGTCACAGTTAACATGTTTGAATTATGTAAGAGCTATTTGGAGGTGGACGTTGTAGACGTAACATTTAAATACAATAGACAAGATGAGTGGTTCTCTTAAATCTCTTACTGAATTATTCGGGCAACTATTTTTATTCTTTTGTATTGAGTTTATTTGTATTTACCTTGCGTGCTCAAATGGATTTGGAAGACTGCTGATAAATATGATAGCAGGTAAAACAGAAAAAGATATGTCCACTGGTTGGAAAGATCAGACCTCTTCTTTCTGCATGACTTGTGGTACATCATCAGTTCTCCACCTCTAAAACACGAGAGATATCACCTTCCTGCTGTATAGCATAATAGATGCTTAATAGATTATAAGATACTCTAATACTCTGGTGTTAGTCACAGAGACACTATAAACAGATAAACGTTTGAAGATCCCTGGCTATTAGTCTTAGCTTAATGCTCCTAAGAAGCATTAGGTCTTCTGGACCTGCAGAGCAGCACACTGATGTGTTTCCATTTTCTTCTTCTACACATGCATAGGTGAAGGAAAAACATAACAATTGTAGATCAAAATTTTTAAGTAAACCTAAACCTGTTTTTTCTAAGAGTACACTGAGTCTTTAGTGTTCACTGCAGACGGAAGCTTCACGCTAGGATCGAGTGCAGCAGGCTCATCCTTTAGTTTGTGACAAACTGTGGTCCTGCAGAGGCACAGGGAAATGAGAACCCAGAGAGGTCTGGGAATGCCCTGGAGGTGAGGGAACAGAGGTCCTCATCAGAAAAGCATAGCATGAGCAGAAAGAGGGATTTTGACTGCAGGTTTGTTTAAATATTTCTCTGCTGTTGTTCACTTCCCTTTGATCACCTGAGCGCTGCAAAAGAATGGTAGAAATGATAAAAAGACCGACTGTGGTGTCCAGCAGCACTTCACAGCAGTTCTAAGCTGTAAAGGGCAGCAATGTGCTGTGTCACTGCTGTGTGCTAAAATATGATGGGGAAGGACAAATTCGCACTATTTTAAATTTGACATTACAACAAAACAAATCAAATTCGTGACATTTAATTACAATGGTTGTTGAATAATGTTCTTAGGCTCGTTCCATACCAAGCTTCTTCCTTCTGTCTCCGAAATATCTGTCCCTGTCGTCTGCCTTGCAGGGCAGACAGCTCACAGTCTAGAAACTCTTTTTCCACTATGTCATGACTTCGCCCAGCAAGGGGAAGTGCAGAGATTCAGTAGAAGAGCTGCTGCTGCTCTCAGTTTCCTGTTTCTGGGGCTTTCTCTTAAACTATTCTCCAACATTTCCTTTCTCAGGAAAATAATGGAATTTGTGCAGTTCTTCCTGACCCTGCTCCATGACTTTAGGGGAAATCATTGTCCTCAATGGGGAGAATCCCCACTGCCAGTTACCCTAGCTATTACCTTGCCAAGTCTCAAATTCTTCCATGAAATTAGTTCACATTTTGCTGCTTCATTCATGTGAGTACATGCAAAAGCCATCCCTAAGTGTGAAATTATAAGACTTATTTATTAAACAATTTGTGATAGCCAAGACCAAACCATTCCTGTGCAAACCTCAACTAGTTCTTGCTTTCCCATTTTACCTTCTCATGGATCTGACCAGCATCACTTCTCCTGCTCTAGACGTTGATGAGTGCTCCACTGGCAAAGCTGTCTGCTCTTACAACCGCAGATGCGTCAACACGTTTGGAAGCTACTACTGCAAGTGCCAGCTTGGTTATGAACTGAAATACGTCAGCGGCCGTTATGACTGTGTAGGTAAGATTTAGCCCATGAGTTTTCCTTTTTCATTCCCACATGGTGCGTCTTTCCTGTCATTGCCTGAAGCATGTTGGCTTAGTCTGGGGATATTGTCTCAGAAATGGATAAAAGGTGTCACGCTGAGAATATTCTTGATGGCACTTTGAATTTTTCTCTGGGTTTTCTTTGTGGCCTTATGAAAAACCTAATCACTGTCCCATGCAAATTAAATTGCCTCATTGTACCAAGTCAAGATGTGCAAGGGCTTGTAGTACATTAGCAAAAGTCGACTGCAAAGATGTGCTACTTGTGGTACAGGTTTAGTTAAAGAGCCATTCTTTGTCCTCTTGGCTTTCAATGTGTGATGAACAAGCAGTGCCACAATCTTTTTTTTTCGTTTTTTTTTTGTGTCCTTAATGAGGAATGTGAGTCAAGTGGATTCATGACTGTAAAAACAGTTGTTTGGATGGACAGTACAGAACTTTGAAAAAAAAAGTATGAAAATAGTAGGTTTTAATTACTTTTCAGGTCTCATTTGCTTGCCTAAGTTTCTGCCAAACAAAAATATATACAGGCAAAAAGCTATCTTGACATGCCCAGGTGTTAAAACAAATATCAAAACACCTTTACTCCTGGTTCAATCTGTTAGCTGAATGGTGGAAGAACAGCAAAGTATAAGTTACTGCAGCAGTATCGTTCAAGCCATTGACTACACGAGGGCCTGGGAAGGTTGGAACTACTACAAGAAGTGCATACAAAAAAGAACTCATGGGTTTTGTTTCTGTTTCCTTGGTATTGGGAGTTAGGGGTGAGAGAACATAAGGCAGGTTTTGGAGACTCAAGTTTGCGTTTCCAGTCTTAGAGTCTTAAAGTGGAAAAAATACTTACTGTTTCATATAATATGTATGCATGGAGGAAAAACTGGAGAGGTCTCGGTATTCAAGATTGTATCTGCAAACCTTAATCTTACTCTCAGATACACGATATTTTTGAGGCAGTCTTCCTGCTACTTATGTCCTAGATGACTTACATTACAAGAGGACCTGCCATCTGCTAAAAGTGAAGCAGTCTGGATAAAATGCAAATTGGTGCAAAAATTTGTGCAACAACTTGGCTCCCTCATGTGGGAGAAATCAGAAACATCTTTGTGATGTAGTAAAATAATGGAAAAGGAGAGCAAAATCAGTTACTCTTGATGCCTGTACATTTTGCTGTCAGTTGAACGTAGTATTTTCTACTCGATTGTTCCTGATCATACTTTTTGCATACAGCATCATATATATGCTGGAATGTTAGAGGTAAATAGAAGATCTCAACATCTTGGCATGCTCAGAGTTACTTTCCTTTGCATTTCTTCAAAACTGAATGAAAGAATGAGAAAGATTTCGTGAATTGTTTTTTAGTTGAAGTCACACATTCTCTTGGTGCCTTTTGCATTTTGTTAATAGAAGAGTGTGTACAACCAACAGTTTGAATCCTCTTCCCAGTCAGAAAATCACTATGTTCACTTTTTACTGGTATGCTCTACATTTTCCATGGATGCCTATGCCAGTATATGTGCAGTTGGAGCTGACATGAAGCATTCTCTCCTGGTGTGAATTCTGCCTCAGATGGTCTCTGGACTGTCTTGGTCTAACACTAGTGCTTACAATACCTGGAAACAGATGGCCGGCACAAAGAGGCTGTCACAAAGCTTGGGTTTCAACAGAGTTTTCACCGAAGCATTTATATCTTTCCCTAGATGTAAATGAATGTGTGACAAATACACACAGGTGTAACCTCCACGCAGAGTGCCTCAACACCGAAGGATCCTTCAAATGCAAATGTAAACAGGGCTACCGAGGAAGTGGATTCGATTGTGCTGGTGAGTACCATTGGATGTCAGGAATAGTGCTATATTGTTTTTCTCCAATAATTGATGGTTAGAAGGCATTTTCTAGGAAATGTAATGCTGAACAGTGTTACAATACCAACCAAGGAAGACCTCTTCACAAAATAATATATTGTTTGTACAAGTCATTGCATAGTTAATACAAGTATTATTTATTCAAACTTATTTTGCCTTTAAGTTCCCAAGTCTCATAGTATCACTAAGAATCGCAAATAGAACAGAGAAGATAACTTGGCCTGAAGAAACAGAGAAAATAGGTTTAAAAAGTCTACTGTGTAACCGTGGCTAGCCTCTTGGAGAGCTGTGCAGTCCCTTCCAGAAGAGTTTCAAGCTAACTTAGCAAAAAGTGAGAGAAGGGAAGAAAGCCATGACTTCCGTGCTAAACTATTTTCACTTACAATTTTGCCTTTTTTTGTTATTGAATATTGAAGAACTCCTATAAAGATGTCATTACCTGGTTCTAACTGAGTATGACCTGCCAAGAAGAAAGAAAGGCTGATCTTGTCTTTATATTTAAAACGAACCGGTTCATTTAATAGCTTTAATTAAACCTGGCATAGGTTTCTCCTGCAATGTCATTAGGGATGTTTTCCTCAGGAGGACCTCTGAGTCCTGCTCCAAATTTTTGAATAAAAGATGTTCTGAAAACATTTTAAAATTTCTTGTCTACAGCAGATGAAGTCTATATAATATATAAACCTTTTTTTCCTGTGTCTTTTTCAAGCAATTCTTGATCAGATTATGTATGTATTATGATTATACTTCATGGTCACAGATGTTCTATGAGTCTCTATTATTCACATTGTTACTCTCATTATAGTAGTAATTGAAATCTTCAGTATCACATTGATAAGTTAAACTTCTGTTAAGTTTCTACTTCCAGTAAAAAATGTTGACTTTCAATGAGAAAAAACTAAACACACAAAAACCTGACTGGTACTGAAAGGTTTGGGTTTAGACACAGATTGCCACAGCAGAGCTGTTTAGAAAGTTCCTCATGCTCAAATTCAATGTTATGATCCAGTTTCCTTGTTAGACCACATCCCTTGTGATATGTCACTGCAGCTTACTTCAGCAGAAAGATGCAATGGGGCTTGAGACCTGACTGAATATCAAACTGAGATGACTCATCTTGGAATGGTTCTGTTAAAACAAATGTGCCATACATGAAATGTTAAACAAATACATCACTGAGCAATTTTTTTGCTCAGTGCATTTTTTTGTTTGGTTGTTGTTTTCTTTTTAATAAGAAGCTGAAAAATTCAAAGGAAAATCTCCTTTTGACTAAGTCTATGTATAAAATATTCTTTCCTCAAGCAGAAATGATTCAACAGGAATGCTTGCTTAAATATGAACAAAAGAAATATTTTAGCTTGTGGAGAGGCTATGACACATTTTTTAATGTCTAGCCCTGTAAAAAAATTGGTGCTGAAGACAGGTGATTTCTATTTTCTCATATTTCCAATTACTGAAGTCCATTAATTATTTAGAAGAGGAAGGAGCCATCCATTCATAAACTTAGCAGAGCATGCTAAATGAAAAAGAGATTTAATACAAGAGAGGATCATAGAAACATAAAATCATAGAATGGTTTAGGTTGGAAGGGACCTTGAAGATCATCTAGTTCCAACCCCCCTGCCATGGGCAGGGACACCTCCCACTAGACCAGGTTGCGCAAAGACCCATCCAGCCTGGCCTTGAACACCTCCAGGGATGGGGCCTCAACAACCCCTCTGGGCAACCTGTTCCAGTGCCTCACCACCCTCAGAGTGAAAAATTTCTTCCTAGTATCTAATCTAAATCTGCCGTCTTCCAGTTTAAAGCCATTCCCCCTCATCCTATCACTACATGTCCTAGTAAAAAGTCCTTCCCCAGCTGTCCTGTAGGACCCCTACAGGAGAGGATCAAGGAATAACACGCAGTAATGAGAGAAATCAGAGCCATAGGCAGAAAGTCAAAAGGCAAGGGTCTAGCTAGAAAGATGTACACAACAATAGAGGGGAAAATAAAACAGTCAGTGGTAGGTAAAACCTGAACAGCAATGTTGCTAAAAACTAGCTGGTTTCTCTGGTGGTAATTCCCACACATACACCTCCTTTTTCTAAGCAAAGAGGAGGAGGTTCTTTTAACTTTGAATGTTTCAGTAGTTGATTTTTATAGCAATCTTCAAAAAAGTCTGGTCGGTGTAACTGGTGGGAGTAGGACATGCTATTGGGGAAAATGTTTTTTCGAACAGTGACAAAAACACCAATTAGATGTACCAGCCTACACTGAAATGCTGTGTTCTCCATATCATATGGCAATTGTGGAAAACCTTTGGCTTTATTGAAGTCAAAGGAAGTTTTGCTGTTGGGTTTAATAGGATGAGAATACCATACCAGAAATTTGGGGGCTGGAGGCTGTGGATTCACATTTCTTTTGGTGGCAGCAGTTGCAGCTCCTGCAGCCCATCCCAGCTCCCAACAGATGGGCCTGGGGTTGTGCTGCAGCTAAAAGAAAGGCTTCTTAGATACACCCTCAGTACTCCACATAATTATTCTCACAGGGTGGAACTCTCATTTCCACAGGGAACCATTAGTCCTTTATAACAATTGTCTCTAGTATATAACAAATTGGCTACCATAGGAGTAGTATTAGCTTTTTATAACAAATGAAAAACATTTTAATATATAGGTTAATTTTCAGACTATGAAATGAGAGTAACTAAGCGCATTGTTTGTGATGAAACTTTATGGCTACATCTCCTCATGCTACCAAATAACCTAATAAGTGAGTGTCCTGGTTTGAGGTAAAATGGAACCAATTTTGTTCAGTAACTTCGCTTCTTAGCTAGGCCTCTCTAGCTACTGAAATTAACAGCCCTCCTCCACCGGCACCGGCACCACCGGCAGCCACCCCCCGCCCCCTTCCGGCAACAGCACCAGCCCCCCTGCCACCCGTCCTGGCACAA